GGTCTCCAACCACTTCAGACCTCGAGCAGCATGATCCGTCGGCGGTGGGCCCACCTGACAGATAGGTTCCCAGATGGTTTAAACGGTCTTACCCCTGGACCCATGCGCGGGGGGGCTGGCCCGATGATGTTGGCTAAGTCGAGCTCGGCTCGGCGAGGCCGCATCGCATGCCCTTCAGACAAGAGGGCCGCGGCGCCTTCCCCATCTCCAGACGACGCCCCACCAGCCGCGGCGCTAACGAAGTCCAAGCGCGCCCCAGTCAGTGCTGCACTCGAACGGCCGAGGCCCCAGGGGCGGACCCACAAGGAGGGGCGGCGGCTCGCGGGAGGCGAGAGCCTTAAGTTGAAGCAGCCCCGGGTGGAAAACGAGGGAAACTGGCCCGCGGGGGTTGTGGGCAGAGCCCGGCCGAGCCGAGGCCTCCTTGAGGCTTTGGCCAAGGGGTCCGAAACGATGAAGTAATCAAATTTAGAGGGGGAGTCCTGGGAGGGGTAGTGGGTGTAGTCAGGGGTCGTGATAAGCTGACCCCCCGCAGCTCTAGCAAACCCCGTGCCTGAACGGATATCGGGCCCGAAATTGAGGTCGCCTCCAAAGAAGCGTTCGGGCGGCTGGCCGCTCGCTAACTCGCCCGAGTCGCTGGGGATATCTCCGTTGGAGGTGTTGAGCCCAACGGAGTGATGCAAGTAAACAGATGCGAAGAGCACAAATGGACTGTCAGGAGCATGAAATCTGCAAGCTGGGCATCGGCCCCGATCATTGGCGGGCGAAGGCGCAGAGTGGAGCCCCGGCCACGAGCGAGCAAAGATCGCCGCGCCAGCGCTGTCTTCACCCTGGGACTTTGGAACGGCCGCCAGCCAGATAGATTTCCACCCCGCACTCAACGCCGATGCTGAAGCTCGCTCGATCTGCTCAGGATCTCGACGGCGGTGCTCCTGACGCAGAAAAATGTGAGCTGAGAACCGGGGGATCGTCCAAACCATCCTGCGTCGTGCCCCACGCGTTGCAGTTTACCATCCAAACTTCCAAGGCAACGCTGACTGCGCCCCCGCTGCCATCCCCTGGGTCCTGGGCCCTGGTCACCGCGGAGCTGGAAGAAAAGGGGTCGGCCTTGCCCTCGGGCCATAACGGAATCTTCTACGCCTCGAAAGGCGACGGAACCGAATGAGGGCAATGCCCCCGTTTCAACCTCCTACTAGTTGCCGGCGTGCAAGAGGACCTGGGACCGCAACTTGGATGCGCACCCAAATGTGGAGATCGCGCAAAAAGTGGTCGAACTCAGCGCAACTGCGAATTACTTGAGGCATGCAGCCTCTCACATCAGAAGAACCAATCACCGGGCCCATCCCTTCCCAGGGAGGGGGGAAGGATTGGGAGACAGCTCTGCAGAAACGAGATTGCGAATGTCAGGCTCAGAAGGCTCTGCGCGCGAAGCCGATGCCGCCGAAGCCGACGCAGAGGCCTGTGCAGCACGACCCGCGCCTTCAGCACCTTCAGGCGACTCGCCAGGACCTGCATGTGCTGCAACAACCTCACCGTATTCTGCCTTGCGCTTCTTTCAAACTCTCGCCAGTAGATAAGCGTGCACCTCCTTTGCCTCTTTGAGTTTTTGAGAGCGCCCTCGAACAACGATTTAGCAGCGTCCCGAACCTTGCCAGAAAATTCTTCTTTACGTTGCTGGATCCCCTTCTTATCTTCAGCCGAGAGCCCGTAGGTGTCGTCCTCAGCATCCACATCAAACACAACCGTGGGAATGATCTTGTCCATGGGCACAGGGCCGTCCATCAACTGCTCGAAACGTGACCTGAACCGCAAGCACTGGCTCAGAAACGTGCGCCTGCTGCGCAACCCTTCGGCAACCGTCTGATAAACGAGATCGGCTTGGTCAAGCTCCGGGTGAAGTTCAGCCGCCTTCTGACGCTGCAGTTCCAACTCAGTACGCCCCTTGTTGAGCTTCGAGAGCTCCGTCGAAAGAGCGCGCTCCTGGCGCCGAACCAGCGCCTGCTGAACCTGCTGCTGCAAGGATGGGCCAGGAGTCTTCTCAGACTTCTCGAGGGAGCAGGCAAGCCTGCGATACTTACTGGCAAGCTGATCCTCCCCAACCCCGGCACGTAACTGCGCCAACTGCTTGGCCTCTGCAGGCGCCATGAGAGGAACAGGGCCAGGAGGAAGAGCACCATATTCTTCGTCACGCGCAGGCACCAGAAGCACCATGACCGCCGATGTGAGACTCCCAATCCTTGCCCTTGCCCTGTTTGCCGCCAGCCCGTCGACTCAATTGGATCCACGCTTGCCACCTTTGCCGAACTTGCCCCCGTACGTGACCATCGCCTCGACGTCATCTCCCACGCTGGCGGAAAGGAGGGCGGGACCCCACACCGCCAGGATAATGCTCAGCAGGAGCCCGGACCTTCGGCAGGGGAGCGTAGCCGTTCTTACACCAACTGTAGTGCCTGAGATCCCGCTTGCATCCAAATGCTGGGCAGGCTGACTTTGATGGTGGCATAGTGTGCGACGGCCATCCTTGCTGCTCCCCTCCCTGGCACACCCACGGGTTATACACCCAGCCGCCTGAGCCGAGAGAAGAATAAGTAGGAACCATCGCACACGCGTGCAGTGAGAAACGGACGTGTCGGAAAGTGAGGTGGGGCAAAGCCCCAGTACAGGTATCCAACATCCTCTTCCTCCTCCTCCTCCTCCTCCTCCCCCTCCCCCTCCTCCTCCTCCTTCTCCTCCTCCTCCTCCTCCTCCTCCTCCTCCTCCTCCTCCTCCCCTCCTCCTCCTCCCTCCCTCATCCTCCTCCTCCTCCTCCTCCCCTCATATCGACCTCCTCCGCACTGCCTTCCCCTTTTCAACGGGGCGCCTTGCTCCACTGCCTCCTCCTCTCCTCCTCCTGCGGCCTCCTCCCCTCCTCCTCCTCCTCCTCCTCCTCCTCCCCCTCCTCCTCCTTCCTCCTCCCTCCTCCAGGTGCTCCTGCCCCCTTCCCTCGTCAACCTCACATTCGCCGCCGTCCACCGACCTACTCTCTTCATCCTCATCCTCCTCCTCCTCCTCCGCCCTCCTCCTCGCTCCTCGCCTGGAGGTTGAAACGTTCCGATGTGCGCTGGAGTGCTGGATATGCGATCGTCGTGTCCGTCGCACCGCCTGGTGCCAGCCTTGTCGCTGGGTGTGGTGCCTCCAGTGCGACCCCGAGTCCTACTGCCCCTGGGATTCTGAAAGAAACAACGACAGCTGCAGCGACCGAGGGCCGCTACACGAGCTCACCCTGCCCGCTGCATGCCGCGCCACTCGCTCTTCGTGCCGCCCCTCTCTCCTCGTGTGGCCTCCCTTCCCCTCCCCTCGCCTGCCCTGTGCACCCCCCGCTCTGCCCCTCTCCGTGTTGTGTTGTGGTGTCTTCCTCTCCGCCGTGCGCCCGTGGCGGAATTTCGCGCTACACCTTGCACTGGGCATCGCTCGGACGTCCATTCCCTGTGTTGTTGTTCGGTTTCGTGCGTGTTTTTTTTTTGCCAAATGATCAAGGATGCTCCTCGATGGTCCTCGCCGAAAAAATGCACACGTCCGAGCGATGCCAAGGGCATGGGTTGAGCGATTCACGCTCGGGGCTCCCCACCCCTTGGGGGCCGTCCTCGATCTGACGCGGTTCTCCTGCGCACGGCAGGCCGCACATGGCTTACCTACTTGCTCTGCGTGCTTCGCTATGTGGCCTCTCGGCACCGAGGCCCTCGGCCCGATACCGCTCCGCCGCCGCCGCTCCTCCTCCTCCTCCTCCTCCACCTTGCTCCTCCTCCGTCCCTCCCTCCCTCATTCCGCCCTCCCTCATCCCAGCGAAGATCGAACTCGGACCCGACCGAACACGATGCAGACCAAACTCGGGCCCAGACCGAATTCGGACCTGGCCGAACTCAGACACACCCCGACCTCGGACCCAGGCAGAACTCGGACCCGGCCGAACTCGGACCCGACCGAACTCGGACCCGACCGAACTCGGACACGACCCGACTCGGACCCGCACGCCGTCCTGCAGCGGGGATCCCGGGCCCGAGTCCAGCGGGGTCCGAGTCTGGGAACGCCCGAGCTCGGCCCCCTCCTTCCTCCTCTCCCCCCGTCGTCGTCTTCGTCGTCGTCGTCGTCGTCGGCGTCGGCGTCGTCGGCGTCGTCGTCGTCGTCGTCGTCGTCGTCGTCGTCGTCGTCGTCGTCGTCGTCGCCGTCGCCGCCGCCGCCGCCGCCGCCGCCGTCGCGGCGCGGCTCGTGGCCGCCGCGCGCCTCGCCTCCTGCCCGCGCCAGCGCGGCGGAGAGCTCCGCCAGCGGGGCCTCGAAGGGATCTTCCTCGGCCGGGGGGGCGGCGGCGGCGGCGGCGACGACGACGACGACGACGACGACGACGACGCCGACGCCGACGCCGACGCCGACGCCGACGCCGACGCCGACGTCGACGACGACGACCACGAAAACGACGACGAGGGGAGAGGAGGAAGGAGGGGTCCGAGCACGGGCCCTCTCCGACTCGGACCCGGCTGGACTCGGACCCAGGTCAAAGCCAATTGCACACTTCCCTCGTCGCCGTCGCTTGACTGCACACGACTGTTCACATTGATAATGAGAACATGGCGACGGTGGTGTTGAGTTGATGAAGAGGATGAAGAAAGGGATGCGTGGAGGGGGAAGGAGGAGAACCGAGGAGGGATTACCACAAGGATAATGCTGAGGAACCTGAGGAGGATACGGAGAAAGGAGAAAGAGGGGCAGGAAGAGGACGAGGCAGAAGGAGCTGTGAGAAACAAGGAGGGAGAAGGGAGGAGGACGAGCGGAGGGAAGGAGCGAAGCTGAAGGGAGAGGGGGCGAGCGAGGATGTCAGATGAGGATGGAGGCCAATGAGGAGGAGAACACGGAGACATGGCTGACGAGGATGACGACGATGATGAAGATGAAGATGAAGATGATGAGGATGAAGATGATGGTGATTCTGATGATGGTGATGGTGGTGACTGTGATGTCGATGATGGGGATGAGGATGCCGATGAGCATGCTGAGAACGATGATCTCCGCGACCGACGTTGAGGCCTCAGATCAGCCGGCCCTGAAGCGCGAGCGCTCGTGCACTCGACACCTCCAGCTGTGTGGACGGGCCGGATCAACATATTCCCGCGGACGATGGCGGCCAGACGCCGCGGTGATGGTCGAGGCTCGCCCCCATTGCGTGGAGCTGGGGGGAGGGGAAGAGGAGGAGGAGGAGGAGGAGGAGGAGGCCGACGAAGCGGAGGGCGGAGGAGGATGAGCAGCAGCAGGAGGACGAGGAGGAGCAGCAGGAGGAGACGAGGGGAGTAGAAGGGGGAAGCCGAGACGAGGGGGGCAGGAGGAGGCCGAGCGTCAACTAGTTCATGCTGCTCGCACGTGCTCTCTCCTCGCGCCGCCACTGCCAACGGCCATCCCGAGCCCTCCTGTTGATCCTGGGCCCTTGGGCCCAGGCGAATCCAAGACCCGCGCTTCCCCTCCCCTCTTCTTCTTCTTCTTCTTCTTCTCATGCCTCGTCCTACTCCTCCTCATTCTCCTGCTCCTCCTGCTCCTCCTCGTTCGCGCCCAGCTCCATCCCCTCCTCCCGCCACGCACCCTTCCCCTTCCACTTCTCTTCCTCCTCCCCCTTCTCTTCCTCCTCCCCCTTCCCCCTCCCCCGCCCCTTCCCCCTCCTCCTCCTCTCCTCCTCCCCCCTCCTCCTCCTCCTCCTTCTCCTACTCCTCCTCCTCCTCCTCCTTCTTTTTTGCTTTTACAAATATCCACCAATCACTCAGTGTGAATGCCATCCTCCTTTCTCCCCCGAGGATGGCCGGGGAATGGCCCGCCCCCTCCCCCCCCGCCCCCGTATACTTTTACAAGGCTCAATTTATGTTGCTCCCATCGTACTTGAGGACCCTAAATAATTTCGGGCACCCGGAAAATTGTCGACACAGTGTCGAACGAGTGTCTCTCCCAGAGCCCGACACGTGAAAACCCTAGTCTCGGTGCTTTTTTGGTGCTCGAGATTTTTTTGCGGGTGATTCAGGCTAAAGCAGGTTGAAACATGATACGGCTCAATGTGTTTCCCCATCGTTTTTTTCTCCATTGGAGCGTTCGCGGTGTCTCACAATGGTGCTGCCGCTGCAGCGTGGCCCTCATTTGAGGATCGGCGCCTTGCTCCCGTCGTTGAGAATGGCGCTCTCGCCCGGAGCGCGGGTCACTCTCCTGAATCCGAGTCCTCCCCCATCGTTGTCGCTCCCCTGTTTCCCCTCCTCCGCCTTCCCCTGGTCCTCCTGCTCCTCCCGCTCCTTCCAATTCCTCCTCCTTTGCCTCCTGGCTGCTCATCCGCCACCTCCTCCTCCTCCTCCACCTCCTCCCAGTACGCAGCCCTCCTTTCCGACTGAACTTAGGTCGGGCATGTTCCCCTACAGAGGGGGATGTTGGACGAGAGATCAAGAAACTCCCGCTACACACCCCCAAATAGACAAAACAAATATGCAAACATCGTCACCAGACTATTTTTGACTATTTTTGAATTTTCCTCCTGGAAAGGGACGTGCCCGACTTAAGACTGGATATAACCCGATGGGATCTTCGGTGGGACTTCAAGGTCCGCTATGCCTCGCGTCCGCGGGCGGGGGGGCAGTCGGCGAGAGCAGTGGGATGGGATGGCACATGGTTTTTCGTTTCGCACACGCCAGATTTCATTGTGTGCAGTTTCCGATGGTTCCTTCCAATCGGCACGTTCTAGGTCAAAACGATGCTCCCCCTGCAGCGTGATCCTCCTCCTCCCTCGTCCTCCTTTTTCCTCCTGCTCATCCGCCACATCCTCCTCTTATGTACGCAGCTCTCCTTTTCCGACTGCGCATAGCCCGATGAGGACCTTTTTGGAGCTCCAAGTCCGCTACAGTCGGCGCGTTGACCTAAGGAACCCTGAATAAGGAACGAGGCCCCTTTTGTCCATGATTGAACTTCGACTTCGATTTCCCATCGAAACGTAAGGAAAACCGAAGGCAAACTGTGAAACAGCTAAGGAACAGTGAGCCCCTCCCAAACGAAAAAGGTTCCTTCTTCAGGGCCCCGACTGTATGATTCGCGTCGCCGGGTAGGGAACAAATCAGCGCAAGGGCAAGGGCTGGGTGGGGAAAAGTCCGTCGGATGCCGGATGTGGCGCACGCACGCCCAGCTTGCCCTCCCCCCTCTTTCTTCTGCCCTCTTCCCGCCCAGGAGCGTGCCGACTTGCCAACCTCGCCAACCAGAAAGGGGCCTAGGGACACCCAAACAGATAGACACGAGTCCCAGGACTCCTCACAATTCTGTTATTTTTAAGGGGGTTTTCGTCGCCGCCCCCACTTCCCCGAGTTTCCCAGACTTTCCCAGGGACCGACGATGACTTGTGCCTGTGTGCTTTCTCCCCTCCCGAGCTCTCCCCTCCCGAGTTCTCCCTTCCCCGAGCCAGTCTCCCCCCTGACGTCTGCACTCATGTGAAGGGGCCCTGGGACACACAAATAAATACACACAAATAAAGATGTGTCCGATATTTTCCCATATTTTCTGGGTTTTTGTCTTCCCCCCCACTTCCCATATTTTCCCATATTTTCTGGGGAATCGACGATGAATTGTGTCTCTGTGTTTTTTTCCCTCCTGATCATGACTTGGGCTGGCCTGGGTCGTGACGCCTCGGGCGCGCGACCCGCGCAGCCCCTCCCACGCACAGCATGCGCAGGGGCCCCGAGAGAACTTGCCCAAGGGGGGGGATGAGGTCGACTCCGTCCAACATCGGTCCAGGGACCCCTCCTGGGACCCCATCTCGCCATCGCTCGGACGTCCATTCCCTGTGTTTTTTTCGGTTTCGTGCGTGGATTTTTTTCGCCAAATGATCAAGGATGCTCCTCGATGGTCCTCGCCGAAAGAAACATGCACACGTCCGAGCGATGCCAAGCCATCTGGTGCAGCTTGCACCCCGGACCCGTTTCTGACGGCCCCGGGCCTGGAGCGTGCCCCCCGCAGGCGTCAGCAGGCAAGCAGCCTTCTCGAAGCCAGAACCTCGAACCTGCCCCCCCCCCCCCCCCTCCTTGCTGGCCGGACCCCGTGCTGGGCGGCCTAAGGTCCCCCGCCCGCTCCAACCCCCCGCCCCTTCCCGAGGAGGAGGAGAGAGGAGGAGGAGGAGAGGAGGGAGGAGGAGGAGGAGGAGGAGGAGTAGGAGGAGGTAGAGTGATGATGATGAGGAGGAGGAGCAGGAGTGAGGAGGAGTGAGGAGGTAGAGTGATGATGATGATGATGATATGATGATGATGATGATAGGAGGAGGAGGAGGAGGAGGAGGAGGAGGAGGAGGAGGAGGAGGAGGAGGAGGTAGAGTGATGATGATGAGGAGGAGGAGGAGGAGGAGGAGGAGGAGGAGGAGGAGGAGGAG